AGTGAACCAAACAGCCCTTTTTTCCAGCCATAAGTTGTTAGTTGGCCACACCCAATTTGGTCACAGAATGCAAACATTTTGCCTCTGTGAAACTCACACACAGTTCGGAACACCACAAAGATGCTCAGACCAAAGGTCCTTACTTATATCTTCCAGTTTTGGTTGTTGTTCTTTTGTTTTCCAGCCCTAGGAGACTCTTTAGAGCAATGTTTTAATCTATGTGGTTAATCTCTCTAAGTACTTAGAGAGACCAGATTCATATGTGATTATCCCTGTCTAACATTCAGAAGTGGTGGGAGGCAGCAGCTCCAATAACTCCCATATGGGTTCAGAACAATTCGATGCTTGCCAATTTAATAAATCACAAATTCCCAAAATGAAACTATAGACTAAAAAATGGGCAAACATTCTACAGGGAACAAACCTTAATTCCAAACTCAATTCAAATTTCCTACAGAGAAATAACCATTACACAAGAAAAATTACACTTCTCAGTTTGGGGTAAAAACTGATACCCAAAGTTCACCATCATTCTAAAGGACCACAAGAACAACCACACACAACTCACAGAAGTTTTTAGAAGGCCTGGGATCAGGTAGCCCAAGAATACTCAGGTTTTCAGAAAAAGTTTTTGTTTTTTTGTTTTTTTCCAGAAGTCACTTAAATTTCAAGGCCAAATACCTAGTATAAACATTCTAGAATTTTGTAAATATATTCTTATTATTTACATAGACTGATGTGCCTGTGCATTTCGTATCCCTGGGGGGATGGGACATATGGACAGCAGAGATTAAAGGGGAACTCACAAGGTTCTGTTCTCTCTCCATACGGAGCTAGGATTGAACTCAGGTCCTCAGGCTAAGCAGGAAGTGCTGTACCTGCTGCAGCACCTTGTGGGTCCCTGAATAACAAGCTTTGTCTCTTTAATGGGCTTTTTATCAGTCTGAATGGCGCATGTTGAGATCTATTTATTAAATATTAAGATATTTAATATTTTAGCATTTGATTACACAAACATGGGTCAGGATGTTTGGTTAGTCATCTCTACTACATGGCACGTGATCCTATCAGCATCTTGGGGGCCAGAAATTTTGAATGCTTCAGGGGCAAGCTCATCCAGGACTGTTGCTGCCTGGTGCAGGAGAATTGTCTGCATTCTGTCAATCATGTTTTAAATAAACGCTGATTGGCTAGGCAGGAGGTGTAGGCGGGAAAACCAGACAGGAAGTGGAAATGATGCAAGGAGAGCAGGAGAATTCTGGGGAGGAGGAAGTTGATTCCTCGACTCCTGCCCAGATCACCGAAGCAGCAGGATGTGAGCTGCTCCACTGAAAAAGGTACTGAGCCACATGGCTAACATAGATCAGAAAAATGGGTTAATCAAGATGTGAGAGTTAGCCAGTAAGAAGTCTGACCTAATGGGCCAATCAGCTTTATAACTTATAGAGATCTCAGTGTGATTTTTCTCTGGGACTAAACAGCTGGGGGAACTGGGCAGGACAGAAAACCCCCAACAAACAGGCCCCCTCATATTACAGCCGCCCTTAGGAACAAGGATGCCGCATGTGAAGACAGGCTCTTGGACGCCCTGCTCTGCTGTCAGGGCCTACAGCTCACAGCTTAGCTATGAATGCCTTCACGCCATTTTATGGCTACATCACATCATTAATTTTGTGGCTTCATCAGGTAGAGCTATAAATGGAACATTCTTATTGTCTTAATTTTCTGTAACCTTTCATAACGTCTATAAAAGATTGTGGGAGCGACCAAAGTGCAACTGGCTGTGTGACAGACACATTTTACGAATAGTTTATAGAAACTGCTCTTTCTCTCACCCCAGTGGAGTTCCTGGAAAGTCAGCATAGCTTGGACATCTCAAGCTCATTATGTAATGTGGAGCAATGAGCTCCAGTCAGTGGCAATGCTACCCTGAACATGCCCAGTCCTGTCTCATCATGAATCTAAATGTGGTTTGGCCTGGTTAGTACTTGAGTTGGTGAGATGAGACCTAAACACAGACTTATCTTTTTAAAAGATGGTATTACCCCAAACACCAGTCACACATCTGAGCTTAATCATTTTGCAAGGGAAAGACGGATTTGAAAACAGTTTATCCTTGAAGTCACATGACACTCAGCTAGCATGCAGTCATCAGAAATAAGAAACATCTTGTGAAGCAAAGCTCTTGACATGGCTGGTGAGACCAGGATCCTGCATCTTACTCACAGAGTGTGGGAGGGCCGCGCTGGCAGTTACCCAATGAACAGAGAACATCTACCCTGGACCTGGGAGCCTGGTGTCCTCATTGTGGGCAACTGCTAACAGGTTTGCCTGGCTCCCTGACTGGTCACCCTCCCTCCCCCACACTGCCTGTTTCAGAAAAACTTAACATTAAAACAGGAAAGGCTTTGTCAAAGAGCTCAGACCGGAGAGCTAAGCTAAAGTGTGTACTTCAAGGGGACAGGCAGAAGAGCAGGGTCATTATGTTTGAAAGGAGTCTTTTGCCATTCTTTCTCTCATTTTTATCTAGCCCCATTTTAAAAAGATTTTGTGGTAGAACTTGAAAGAACTATATTTACGTCTAAGTTGAACAAGACATCGATTTGCATAGAAGACAAGCGTGGAATGGCAGAGGGATGGAAACGAGAGATTAACCTCAAATCTTTGGAACCTAGTTTAAGATTTTTCTTCCTAATGCTATTACTGAAAATCTCTGAGATAATTTTAATGATAAATAATGACAAGTTGTAAGAGATGTCAGAAATGTCTGCTTCAACAAAATAAGAGCCCCAACAAAATAAGAGCTCTATGGCCATGGGGACAACATCTACAGCTGTGACGTGGATTTTTAACCAAAGCTACTGTTAAGAAAAACCATTTTCTAGTGAGAGTCCTAATCCAGCTGGCAGATCTGGAGTGAGCGCCTCGCAGACCTCGATCTGGGTTCTTGAGACACTTCCAGGATTATAGTGCCCTTTACAGAATAGCATCCATTCTTAGGGCATAATGAGCCAATTTAATACAGGCCCTCGGAACATACTATGCCTCGCCCTGGCATTGTGGTGACAGACTCTGAAGAAAAGGAAGCAGAAGATAACATCTTCCCTCTTAAATGTCAGAAAAATGTTTGACAGAAAAGCAATTTGAACATGGAATTTCTGATGGATGCTTGAGAAATATGCCAAAATTGCTAGCTATGCTTGAAACCGAAGGTGGCTTAGCTCAACTATGAACTCCCACAGTGAGCTCTCCAATGAGATTCCTACAGACAAGTGACCTCTATCTTTACTAGGCGGGTGAGCATGTGCTAGTTACAGATGGAAAACAAGCAGTGCCTATGGACAACAGGACAGGGCAAGAGCAGCTTTGAACCCAGGAGGACTGGCTGTGTTGCCCGAATCAGTCCTGCCTCCCAGGTTTGGTACTCAAGAATTGTTTCTCGGGCTTCACCAATGCCCTTCGTTTTCACACAAGGATACAAAATGTTGCTTAGATTTAAGTTGCAGATTTTATCACCCGAGGAGAATGTATTACACTGTGGACATATCTATGCATCCCAACTGAAACGAGACAGAAGATATGTGGGCAGGTCCAATTGCCATGATCATCGAATTCAGATACAAATGTTTCTAAGGAAGAAAGCTACAGGAGGCCAGCTTCATAATCAAACCATGAAAGTACAGTCAGCCAACACTTTGTCAGTTTGTGTGAGGCGTGCCGAGAAAATACTTGTGAGACTCAGCCTTCAAAATGCTAACCTAGAGTTGTTGAGCAGCTAGTCTATTTCCTTCCCCCCACAGATCTCTGCTTCTGGTTCTAGCTCCTTCCAGTTGAGCTAGGATTTAAATCTAAGAATACAAGGAAGCTTATGGTTTCCTTTTGAGCCATAATTGAATCGCATGCATGTGTAGTCTTTCTATAAATAGACGGATATTTGGTGCTACCATATGGTAAAAATATTAATTAGGAATAAATAATGTTTTTAAGTATTTTTTATAACATAAGAATACTATTGTCAAAAAATCGGTTAGACAATATGAAACTAAATTACTAAAACACAGCTTTTAATTTCCTCTTGCTTAAGTGTCAATGCAGCCGTCTCCTTTTCAGATGGCTTGAGAAAGACACAAACATATAATAGGTTGTGCTGACGATCGCCTGAGAATTCCACAACGTCCTGAATAGTGTATACCTGGTGTGGGCCCAATAGCCATCAGTGATTATATTCAGAGATGGTGACTCTAAACACGAGGCTTGTCTGTGGCAGGGGCTGCCAAACACTTGGCTTTTTGTTTGATATTGTTTTCCTGTATGCACAATAAGCAGACCGTGTTGCAAAATCGCCATGCTGTTTCCCACTAAATTACCAACTTATTTACATGGCTGTCAGGAACTAACTTCAAATGTTGACTCCTTCCATGAATGTGAGAAGTACGGAGCCTCAAAGTTAGCAACCAAAAGAAAATGAGATTCCCGTACTTTCGAGGAGGTCGGACTGCCAGTGAGCAAACCCATTGCCGCAGCCTGCCAACGATCCCAAAGACGTGCTACAGATCCGTGCGGGGCAACATTCCTTTGAGTGCATCCTGAAGCTAAGTGAGAAATCTTTTTTCAAGAGATAAATTGACTCTGATATCTACTTTTAAATCAGTACCCACCATCCAAGTCATTGAAAATTGTTAATGACAAATTACTGAGCATTAGTAACTAAGAGTAGAAAAATACCATTTTTCTAGTTTTTTCCCCCTTGAAATGAAAGATCAGATGTTAAAAGGCTCCAAACTGCCTACCACATCTGAACAGCATTTAAAACACTCATTTCCAATCAATTTATAAATAGTGGGCTATAAAGTTTTGCAGGGAGGATCAAAACCCTCTAATGTCTCCAGGGCGATTCCGGGAAATGCACAGAAGTGCCAGTGTTCCTCTGCTGAGTATGTGGGCCGCACGCACGTGTGAGGAGCAGTAAGGGAAACATACTGGCTCCTGAGATCACTCACCATTCATGTTCTTAAAGATGTTCAGGATGGGGAGGATCTGGCGGTAGTAGGGCACCAGGGCTTCGCCCACCATCTCTGCCGACACAACCAGATGCTGGAGGACCTTGAGCGTGACGCAGATGACCTGCCGGTTCCGGAGGTTCAAGGCATCTGTGCGGTAGGAAAGTGAACAAGCAGAAAACAGCATGCGTGAATTCTATGTTAAGGTGGAGCTGCTCATAGGTGCATTTAATTAAACTGTGCTCTACTGGGGACCAAGAGAGCCTTATTACTATAGCTCTGAGGTAGTGCAGTTCCCTGCTGAGATTCACATTTTATTTGGTTCTTGTGCATCCTTCAAGCTTATGTGGGCTCCTCGCCAACTCTGATAACACTCCTTCTTCCCTCCCCCCCCCTCCTCCTTTTTCCTTCCTCCCCCTCCCCTCCTCTCTCCCCCCCCCCCTGCAAGGTTTCGCTGTGAAGCCCTATTGGTTCTGGAACTTGCTCTGTAGATCGGGCTGGTCTCGAACTCAGAGACCTACCTGCCTCTGCCCCCCAAGTGCTAGGATCAAAGGCGTGCACCACCATGCCTGGCTACTTTTCATGTTCCCATCCAGAGAAGAGGTTGGTGGTCCGAGGGAGAAAGATAGGTGACATAGAGCATCAAACACCACCTAGTGTCTGAGTGGCTGACTGGACAGGCGACCACCAGATCGTGTGTGCGATGATCTCTCTCAGCTAAGAATCCTGCTGTTCTTTCTCCTCACCCCTTCTCTCTGTGTGTTTATGTACATGGGCAGGTCAGAGGTCAACAAGCATCTTTGTCACTTGGTTTCCACTTGCCTTTTATGAGGTAGGGTTACTGGCTGGCCAGCAAATCCCAGGAATTATCCGTTGATGGGATTAGAGGCACACACTGCCATGTCTAGCGTTTTATGAGCCTGGCTAGGGATCCAAACTCAAGTCTTCATGCTTGGGAGGCAAGCAGTGGGCCATCCTCCCAGCCCTGGTTCCCTGCTGTTCTCAAGGCTATTATCATGAAAGCATCTTTATTTTTAGGAACTAGAACTTGGCTAGTGTGCATGTGCAGAAACTATAGACTGGTTACCAACACAGGTAGCATTTTTGGTAGAAGCGAACATAAAGTGTACATAGATGCTTAAGGAGGTGTAGTAGGAGACTGCTTGTTTCCAGACCCGAAATAATTATACAGAAACCATATTAATTACAAGACTGCTTAGACAATAGCTTAGGCTTTTTAGTTAACTAACTCTTACATTTTAAATTAACCCATTCCCATTATTTTGTATTTTACCACGACACTCGTAGTTTATAGGTAAGGTTTTGGTGTCTGTCTCCTTTGGCAGCCACATGGCATCTCCCTGACTCCACCTTCATTTCCTTCTCTATTTCTACTTGAAATTCCACCTTTTTCTATTCTGCCCTATCATAGGCCCAAAGCAGCTTCTTTATTAACCAGTGGTAACAAAACACATTCACAGCATACAGAGGGGAATCCCACATCAAGAAGGCAGGGAGAAAATAGAGAAAACATAACCATCCCACTACAAAGAGTCAGCCATAATGAAGACCAAAGGAGCACACAAGCTTAAAGAACAGTTAAATTACCTGGTGGGCTCATCTCTGCAGGGGCTGAAAGGTGCCCTTTGCTCCAATGGGGAATCAGGTCATTGTGTTAACGTGTGAACCTGGCCAGCTCATTGACACTTTCTGGGCCCTGCTTTCCTTAATCCCAGCAGCCTGTCATTTGCTTTCTAAGATGACTACATTAAAATGATGGAGATGAAGAGCCACACGAAGCATCTATTATAGGGCCAGAGGGGTGACAGGACATGGAGCCCCTGACTACAATAAAAGCCAAAGGCTCCTGATTCTAAAGTGTTCCACCTCCTAATAAAAAAGGAACAACTATGACCGTAAAGCAAGGAATAAAGCAGCCAAGCTATCAAAGGGACGGCCACTACGCCTGGGAGGAGCGTTCACATTGCTCTTGAGTCCAGCTGACAGCTCCCACAGCTCTGATATTACCAACGTATCCCACTCAGTGTGTATCAAAGACACATTTCCCTATATGAACTTTCTCTTTATTCTATGATGTGACCAGGCTGGCTCCCTATTACCCAGTTTTCATCTCTCATAGTCCCTATGTTGGAAAATTGTGTTTCTGTATTGGAGTATCCTTGAATTTATGTCATCTGTTCCATTATTACCTTCCTCCCTCCAGTTCTGGTCTCCATTCTCACCACCCTTCCTCTGGTCCTGAATCTCCATCCTTGCCTTCTCTCCTCTGATCCTAGATCTTCATCCACAGCTTCTTTCCTCTGATTTTAGGTTTCTACCCTGACTTCCCTCTTGTGGTTCTGTGTCTCCATCCTCAAAATTTCTTAGGCCCTGGGTCACCATTGCCACCTTCTCTCTGCTAGTTGGTCCTGCCTTCTCTCCCTTAGTTCTAGGTTTTCACCCTTCCCCTCTCTTCCTCTGGTTCTAGGTCCTCATTTGCATCTTTCCATCTCTGATTCTGGGTCCTCTCTCTCACATCTACTCTTCTGGTCCTGAGTCTCTATTTTCACTAGTTCATATCCAACCACCTGCTCAAAGAAGTTCATGCTGCTCCCTGTCTCCCGCTTTCTTCTCAGAGTCAATGAAAGATCAGTCAGATCCAGCGAGACAGTCAGGAAAAGTTTAAACTCAACTCAATCCCCAGTGAAAATCCAAGAAAGCACCATTTAGTGATTTCAGACACTTCCTGTGGAGACAATGGGAAGTTTTTAACAATGAAGTTGAGGCCAGCTTGATCTTCTCCAGTGACACTGGGGGCTGGAGAATGGACACACTTCGGAGTCGCTCCACAATCCCTGGTCCTCAAGGCTGCATTCCTGGTTGGTATGAAAGTAACCATGAACGTAATAAACTGAGGAGCTCAGTCTTAACTCTAGGAGTCCACCTAAATATAACTGCAGGGTTTGGTGGCGTGATGGCCTGTCATTACAGCTTTTCCACACTTTGCAGGCCATGCTGAAACTTCTGAAAAACAACTAAAAATAGGATGCTGTAATTTCCTCTGCAAGCTGTGGCGACAAGACAGTCGGAGCGAGCTTGAGAGCGTGCGGGAAGGAGACAGAGAGTGGAGGGCTCACAGCTGGCAGTCAGCCTGTTGCTGGGCTTAGCCAAACGACCATGCACTGAGCACTTCTTGTGCCAGGAATTAAACCTAGCACTTTATACGTCTTAGGTACTAATCCCCCTTCAATGTTTGCAGAGAGCATATTGTGTGCTCCTCGTAGTTTTAGAACTGAAAGTGTTGGAAAGAACAAGACACAGATGCTAATAATGTCCACTGGGGATTCCAAACTGGCATGGCAACAGATAGCAAGCACACAGCACAAGTCTGATGGCTGTGACAAGACAAGGTTATTAAACAGCCAACACAGGGGTACTTAGCTTAGACACCAGGACAAAACTCAGGGAACAATGGATGCTATTTAGCCACAGAATTCCCATGCAGGGAGGTGCATGGGAAACACAGGCCCCTCCTTGGGGAAGGGAGCGCACTGCAGCTGGGTAGATGAGAGCGCGCTAAGGCACTCGGGTCATAGAGAGATAGATTAGCTGTGTTCTTCCTGAGCACCTTTCCGTATGTGTATAGGTGTGTGTGTAGGTGTGCACCCATGAAGGACCTGAGGTCCCATCTTGCTGTAACAACCAGAGAGAACCAGAGACTTGAGAGTCTGGGTTTCTGCCTTTTCTGTCCATTCTCTCCCTCCCATCAGAAGGAAGCCCTCACAGCCACGCATAACCGTCCATTTTGTGGATTTTCTTTTTCAGGAAAACACAATGACAACACTTTAATTCAAAGGCAGGAAATCCTGTGAGAGTCCCTGAAGAGGTGAATGTCTGAAGGTTCTGGTGACTGTGGTGGCCCCTGCATTCCAAAGACTGTAGTAAGATAATCTTATGTGTGCCCATCTACACCCAATGTCAGGGAAGAGACCTGCCACATAGACCATACTGATATGTGTGAGTGTGTGTGTGTGCATATGTGTGCACAACTGAACCTTAATTTTCCAAATGGGGTTATTTGTATAGTCACCTGGTCACTCGGGGGTTATTAATGCTCTTTCTCATCTCAACAGAATAACGGACATAACTTTTGGCGATAACTACATTACAACCTTGACTGAATTAACATGGTGTGATCAACATTATTGCAATGTTATTGACAACGGCTGACAACCACAGTGCCTGGCTCGTTACTCCAAGTGGAGCATGAAAGGGAAGGCTGTGTTCTTCCTGGGAAGCAAGAAAATTCTTTCCCTGTAGCTGTGAGAGAAAACTGAGGGGCAACACAAGATTACCCTTAATTTCTTTAAGAGGGACTTTCTCTTTATCTTTCTGTGTGTATGTGTGTGTATATGTGGGTACATGTGTGCATACAGAGGTCATACAGAGGGGCCAGAGGTCAACCCTGGGTGTCATTACTCATGAGTGGTCACCTAATGTCTTGAGACATTGTCTCTTATTGGTCTGGAGTTCACCGAGTAAGCTGGGCCATCTGGTGAGCAAGCCTCAGAGACCTGCCTGTCCCCACCTCCCCAGTGCTGGGATTACTAGTGTATCAGCACAAGACTTTCTATATGGGCCCTGGGGATCAAACTCGAGTTTCCAACTTATCATCACCCCAGCCCAAACTGAACCAAAGTCAACACAGCCCTGAATGGGCCATCAGGCCCCAGCCCCAAGAGGATTTATTATTTATTCTGCCCGTTTCCATTTAACTCATGTATTTTTGTTTCTTGTTCGTGAGAAATTGAGTCAAAACATCTAGTGGGAAGTCTTCTTGTTCTTCCTTTCCCAAGAGAATTAAAGAAATATGGTTTGGGGATGGTGAGGTGGGAAGCATTCTTTTCCTCTGAGAAAGTATTGCTAAGGGACATAGGGGAGCATGATCTGGGGCTTAACGAGGGGCGCTGTGTTCGTTCCTCTGCAGTTGCTGTCAGGTTGTAAATGAGGACTTTGGACTCAAGATTTACAGTTCTGAAAGGTTTAACATGAGGAGCCTACTGACACCACAGAGCCCTTTCTACTCAGGAAATCGGGTTCCTACCGTACCGCTCACCGCCTTCAAGTATAATCAACACAATGGAGCTCAC